GGGAGGGGGGCGATCTGTCACACCCCTGTGGACTGTCGATTGTGGTTTCTCCCTCTGTGTCCTTATTTGGTTGTTCCTGTTCTCATTATTAGTTAATCACCTCATTGTGCTCACCTGTCTGCCCCTCGTTATCCACCCTATATCAGTTCCTGTCCATTGTGTTCCAGTTTGTCGGTTATTGTGAATGTTACCCTGTGCGTGTGCTCCTACCCTATTGTGAATTGATTAAAGTGTTCTTGTATCCTTCATCCTCGTCATCCTGCCTGTTCTCTAGCACAGCAACACCGTGACAGTATTAAGCATGAAGTTATTGTAAGTGTGGGTTATGTTTTGACAGTGCCTTTATTTTAAATGTATAACGTGTACTTTTCAGCACAGTTTTAATTACGTTTATTTACGTCTCTTGATTTGAATGGCTTATTGCTTTTAATTTTTTTTATTAAATGAATGCCTCTTATATTGGTTAATAGAGAATAGAGAATGACTTTAATGTAGGACAGTTGCAGAATTATATCAAAGCACAAGACAATTTAAGAAAATTAAACAAACTGAACTACTATACAACAAATAAAAAGCAGTTAATAACTGGGAATAATTTATTGTTAATAATAACTGGTAATATATAAAAATAAATATGGAAAAATGTGGTATTTTGTGGAAGTTGAAACTATTACAATACAAATAATTATCTCTAATGTTCAAGAATCCCGACGTGCAAGCTAAATCCAGCGGTGTAGAGTCATCATTAATTGACGACGCTTTGAAGTGACGCTAAAGGGAGTGAGGAAATATAATTTCATTTGATTCAACTCCTCCATCCTCGCGTCTTTTCCTTGCGTCATTCCCTCGCATCCTGAAGGGGTGGAGCTAAGACACAAGGAAAGGAAATGAGGATGCACAAATAAAAATTGAGAAGCACCCTTGGTCTATGTTGCGGGCCTACAGAGACGAGAGACGTGTGGATCCATCTGCATGCTTTTATTACAAGACATGCTCATAACAGGCATGGGTCAAACAGTGGCAAACAGGTACATTTCAGGCAAGACAAAGAGTATTCCAGGGACAGACAAGGTCAACGATCGGTAAACATAATCCAGTGAGCAAGGCAAGGGGGTATCCAAATAAACAAGCAATAGTTCAAACGAGGAGCAAACAGTATCCAAACAAGGGCAAGACGAGAGGGGTAATCCACGGCAGGCAATAGAATCCAGGGCAGGCAGAGATCAGACAAGACAAGGAAAACAGGCAATAATCAAGACACGGGTAATCCAGGCAAAGAACAAGAACAAACGATGAACTCGGGAAAACAAGGAATGGCTCCGTAATGTGCTATCGAATAACCAGCAATAAATGCAAACAATACTCGGCATTGAATGGTGGTTTGAGACTGATTTTTATAGTGTGGGCGGAGCTGGCAGAGCAAGAAGCCAGGGCGGAGCCGGCAGTCGACGGAGTTAAAGACCACGGCGGAACAGACGGAGCAGACGATCTTCACGGCGGAGCAGTTGGAGCAGAAGACCACCAGAACACGGCAGAAGACCACCACGGTGGAGCAGATGGAACAGGAAGAGCAGAATACCACCAGAGTAGGGCAGAAGACCACCACGGCGTAGACGGAGCAGAAGACCACCAGAGCATAGCTGAAGATCACCACGGTGGATCAGACGGATCAGGAACCCATAGCAGGGACCTGGGAAAAACTGAGACACAAGAAACAGACAGCACATTCACGGTCTCAAGAACCGAGGCAGGGAACACAAGAAGTTCATCAATAGTCTCCCTGGTGACCACTGAACGGGCAGACAGTTCATAAACCGGCTCACTGACTGAAACTGGACAGGCAGACAGTTCCAAATCTGGCTTATTGACTGAAACTGGACAGGAAGACAGTTCATAAACAGGCTTACAGACTAGGATTGGCAAGGCAGACAGTTCAGCAGACACATTTGGGGAAACAGAACAGGCAGACAGTTCATGAATGGTCTCTATGGCAGTGACAGGGTTAACGAGACAGACATGGAGTGCATTTATATTTTCTGGGCTCATAACTGGACTAATGGGGCAGATAACAGGTTCCTTGACCACCACTAACGTAAATGAATGAAAGGCAATAATCAGCTATATGCATTCACACAAGTAACTTTTTACTTGAATGCTTCAATATGTGTTGACACAAATTACTTTATTTGAATGTTTCATTGATACAACATGGTACTGAGTTGTTAGAAAAGAAATGCGTAGTGACATCATTGCTTGATGTCATAAGGAACCGATGATCAGCTTTTTGAACCGGCTCAATGAGCCGAACTGTC